GCTTATTCAATCGTTAGTTTTTTTGAGCAGTTAATCGGAAAAAATAGGGAGAAAAGAAGGGAAAATATTAAAAGGATATTTCTTTGTTTTTTGCTTTTTATAAAGCTCAATGACGCAAGGAATATATACCTAAATTATGAGTTAATCAAAAATTTTCTATTTCTGAGTTATTTAGCTGTTTATATTAACAGTTGAAGATTTACTTAATACCATAACCATTTGAAAATTTTTTTTCTCCAAATGGTACATTTCGGACCACAGTTTTTGTCTACTTTCGAATATCTTTATTAATTAAGAAACCAAAAATTTTAGTTCTACGTTATCGGAACTATACTTTCAATGCAAATTCCTTTTGTTGGATTTCAACCTGTGCAAACTTCAGAGCATATGATGGTATGTTGATTATATATAAAATTTTTATGTCTGTTACGAGATTTTTTGGTGTTCAGCAAAGCGTAGTTCACTTCATCTGTTTGAATTCAGTTTCGTTTTTAATATTTTTCATCTGTCGTTTCAGACACTAGAAAGAACTTCCCATCACTTAAAAATGTACTTGAAATATGATGCAGACAAAATCTGTATTGTCTTATGGCTATATTTGATATAATAATGCCATTATCTTTTTTGTCTAAACCATCATTTCATCAAATGAATTTTGCATTTGTTCTTCACATATGTTTCTGTTCTCCCAAATTTTCTTTTTGCTTTTAGGCCTTTGGTGTTTTTGGATTATGTCAAATTATAGCGTTCGCTAAATGGCTGCGGACACGAATGTCGGAATTGAATTTTCAGTTTCTTTTTCGATCAACTATTTTGTTTGCGGCATGTGCTGTTGCGATGAGCGTCATTGTTGCATCCTATTTAGGAAGTAGGTGATTGAAGAAAAATTTCCGTTGAAACGATAATTTTATTTATTCAGATTACTATCCATCAATTTCATTTCAAATGTCGATTTATAACGCATGAACTTATGATTTTAACTTATTATAAATCAGATAGCAACAGATTTTCGATGAATTGTTCATCCCCATTGTCCAGGCATTCACTATAATACATATTTATCATTTCGTTAACAAAGCAGTTATTCAAATGCCTTCTGTCATCGTTTCATTTTGTTTTTCAATTTATTTGTAGTCTTCGAGAACTCGACTTCCTATTATTTGGTCTTGCCTAACTGTTACGCTATTATGTTATGTAATTCTACTGAAAGCAGTGGGCTGATTTAAATTGAAAAGAATATATTATCTCTGGATAAAAGAACTGATATTTTTTCATACAACTTCAATCTTTTAATTTCGTGGTGAAGAAATTTGGAAGGAATTTTTTAGAAATCGCTCCTTGGACCGGACGTTTTTACTCATTACTGGATCCATCGTATGCTAAAAACAATATTCCTATTATTGCATCTGTGTCAGAACATCAACCAACAGCATGGAGCTCTTTCTATTTTGACCTGCAAGTGCTGGTATTTACTTTTCCAGGTATTATTATAGTATCTCATTTATTCACATGAATTGCTTGTTATTGTCGATTTCCCTTTCAGGCAGCAAAATGTTATTTCATGGAGTTAGTAACTGAAATCAAAAAAAAATTTCAGAACTAAGCATTACTAATTCTTTTTTTATAAGTAATTTTGTGTTTTCAGTTGGATTGTATGTTTGCTTCAAAGAGCTGAATGAGCACAACATTTTTATCATACTCTATGCACTTACAAGTATTTATTTTGCGGTACGTATTCGTTTTCAGATGATATCAAAAAAATATCTAGCTTTCCGCTTAGTTCGTTTACTAATGCTTATTTAATTCAGATAATTAATATTTATTCAGCTGTACTGAAATCTATTAATCCCATAATGACATTACTAAGAATTATGTTTTTACGAAAGTAATCATTATGAATTTTGGATAAATAATTATGTATGAGCAAAAAGAATTAATATTTTACAGGGTGTCATGGTTCGTTTGATGTTAGTATTAGCGCCAGTAATGTGCATATTAGGTGGTATTGCGCTGTCATCAACATTGGCTACATTTATGAAGAATTTGGATTCAACATCCACACATGTCAAGCATGATAAAAAGGAAAAAGAAAGAAATTATCCATACAAGAATGAGGTATTTTATCTAACGAACTTACTCTTCTACTGATTGAACTTCGATGGTGGGAAGAACCCATTTGGGCGAAATTTTGTAAGGCCCTAGATGATCAATCGAGCATTTCAAGTACACTGCTGACTAGAGATTATCGCTTTCTCGCTTATTTAAAAGAAACTGCTTAAAATAGTCTCGAGTCTTCTGTGCTTTTTTCATTCTTTTTATCTGACATGCAGTCACCGTTTTAAACTTTAGGTAGCGCAAGCAGTGATTGCAATTGTTGCAGTATTTTTCTTTTCCTACGTATATCACTGCACTTGGGCAACATCCGAAGCTTATAGCAGCCCTTCAATTGTTCTCTCCGCACATGGTGGTGATGGATCAACGATTATTTTCGACGATTTCAGAGAAGCCTATTATTGGCTGCGCAAGAACACACATCCGGTTGGTAGACAATATTTTTGTAGAAGTATAATAAAAAATTAAGAGAGTGCTGATTTTTAAAATTTGGAAGCTTTTCAGGAAGCAAAAATTATGTCTTGGTGGGATTATGGATATCAAATAACAGCAATGGCAAATCGAACAGTTATCGTTGATAACAATACGTGGAATAATACACATATATCGCGTGTTGGACAGGTTCCTTGAAGCTTTTATTGAGGATACATAATAAACTGCAGTGTATTCTTTTTTACTGTATTATCTAAAAACACATACTTCTGTTTGCTTCGTTATTTGTACTCATTTTTGCAAAATTTATTCCCAGTGAAAGATCTGTTATATTCACATTGATTGCTTAGCTGCATCTCCACATTGCTTAACTGTTTAGTGTTCTCTTTATTTCAATTGCATTTTATTTAGGCAATGTCTTCGAAAGAGGAAGATGCATATGAAATAATGCGTGAACTAGATGTTGATTATGTTCTTGTAATTTTTGGTGGAGTAATTGGATATTCTTCTGATGGTAATTTTTATTAATATTTATAAATACATGAGATTGACATCAGTTTTCCATTTTTAATTTAGAGAAAGTAATAAATTCTCTAAAACTTCTTAATATTGATGGAGTTTGCGTTAAGAAAAATTTGCGATTAAAATAATGAAAGATCAATAGTGTTAGTTTTAAGTCAGAGGAAGAATTTATTTAGAATTTTTCTTAATCTGAGATTTGGAATTTTTACTCTTTTGTGCGATTTTAGTGTAAACAATTTTTTCTGTTCAGACATCAACAAATTTTTATGGATGGTAAGAATTGGTGGGTCGACACCAGAAGGGGCGCACATCAAAGAGGTGGATTACTTTTCAAAATCGGGTGAATTTCGTGTTGATCGTGAGGGTTCACCGACGATGCTTAATTGTCTGATGTACAAGCTATGCTATTACCGATTTGGTGGACTCTATACGCAACATGTAAGCTAATTTTTTGAGAAATTATTTGCAGTATTCCCGCTAGTTTTGAATCTCTAGAAAACTCATGTCCATGTCGGATGTGAAATTAGAAGTTAGTTAAGGAAATAGTGTATGGAAGTTGTAATAAGCAACAAGTTTCGAATTCTGGAAAATTTTTAAGTTGAACTGCTTGGTAAATTATATTTTGTACTTACATATACTTTCAGGGTCAAGTCACCGGTTTTGATAGAGTGAGGCATGCTGAAATTGGTAACAAAGATTTCGAACTCGATTTCTTGGAAGAAGCTTACACCACAGAACATTGGATCGTGAGGATTTACAAAGTAAAATATTTTTTCACAGATAATTTTGTCAAGATTCCTTTGGCTAATTGTATGGTAAGCCGAATAGCATTTTTTCTGATATCCAATGAGGAACATCATTTTTATTTGTTATAATTAGCGTCAATTTCGCAATGCGTATGACTAATTCATGCATTTAGAAGTCTATTTCTTAGGCTTGCATGAAACTTTACTGCTTACGTGGCATAATCAACATTCGAAAGCCTTCTATTTCGATATAATTGACGAAAATTTGATATTTGCTTTCCAGGTGAAACCATTGGATAATCGAGGGCATCAATGAAGCAGTCTTCTTACAACGGATTTTGTTACATTTGATATAAATAGGTGATTCGTTGTTAGAGGGATGTTTCAGTGATTTAAAATATATTGTTATGTTATTGTTGATGTTCCAATGAATTTCTGTTTTCTATAACGAGGAGAGCTGATAATAATTTCAGTTGTCATTTTCTCATGCGATAAATTAAATTATGCTTAAAATGAACCAAATTAACTTATAATGAACCGAACTTTATATTCGTATTTAGGAATCCAGAGATTCGTTAACTTTTGTGCAACATTTCTACAGAAGCTAACTAAGTCATGCCGTACTTTATATTTCAATACACTTTGCAGAGTGCTAGGATCTTTTTTAATGTGACCTTTGATGTGAGTGTCAAGTAGGTAGGACTGTTCTACTACATCTTTACATCCTAGTAAATTATGCTTTTGTTCTGCGAGTTTTTATCATCAGGAAGCAATGTATTTCGATTTAAGCTCACGTAGATTTTAGGAAGCGAAAACTTCAACCAACGCCGACTTTTCTGCTGGGCGCTTAGCAGAGGCGGTAACCTATGCTTTACTGATATGTTATTGCTAATACAACAAAGCACGCGCACATCAGCTCATTATATCCTTATCTTCAAGTGACAATGAGTTTGTTTGCAGAAGGAAAAAAATATCTTCAAAATATCTTATTTGAAAGTTTACAATTCTGGAATATATGAAAATGTGAAGAATTATATACATATTGCAAATCTGAATACATAAAATAATTAATATTGGGAGGAAATGATGAAAAAGAAATCATCGTACAAACAAAACAATCCTCCCTTCGCGGCGGCCGTTATTTGAAATTATTTCTATTAATTTGCTTAAATTAAGTCGAGAAATTTGAAAAAATCTATCATGGCAGTAAGCTTGTTTATGGAATCGTAACTCACTTGAGTTATTATGTTTTTTATATTAAGAGGATAAAGGAAATGGTGTAAAAAGCAAGATGAAAGCACCCTTCCCAATTATTCAGAAGGAAGTGCGTGTGTTGACTATTTAAATTTAATTTAGTTATGGTAAGTGCTGTTATTTTTTTCTTTTATTTATTGCATCAAAATATTATGCAAAGATTTGAGATACTCTAAAACCCCTCAATCATTCACAGCATTACATTTTTCATCTCCTCCAAAAAGATTGGAATTGTTGATTACTTCGCTGAATTTCATCTACAAGGCATTCCGACTGATAGAACTAACAAGTGAATCATGAAACCATAACAATAAACACTGAACTGCGTCCGTTAGAATACCACGCGATTGCGGAAGTTATCGTCAATGTCATAGAAAATGTCCTTCATTGACACTAAGCATCGATAGCCCATTGGTTTTCACTTAAGAAGTGATCTACTACCTGAAAATGTACTTTATGAAAAACTGATTAAATTATACAGTTGATATAACGGACATATAGTTTGCCTGGACTTGAAAAATTTAAACCAATTTATCCGTAGGCGGTTAGAATATGAAGATTTATATTAGACAATAAAACTGGTGATTTGAATTTAAATCATACAGCTATGCGGTCTTTAAAAAAAATTACACTCTGAAAGCTTGGCTTTAAAATTACACTCTAAAAGAGAAAAGAATAAATAACTCAAAAATATTCCGAAAATTAGAAGTTAAAATCATACAACCATGTTGAAAGTACTAATAAATAGCAGTAGAATGCATGAAAGTTTAAGAAATTTCGGAAAATGTTCTGTGCAATAACTAAAGGTTGGGAACTCCAGTACTATGAATCAGAAGTAATAATTAAATCAAATATCAGGTTCAACATTAGTAATTCATAAAGTGATCATAATGATCAGCTGTAACCTTATCTGAAAATCAATCGAAAGTTCAGATAAAAAACATCACTTAGCGAAGCATGATTTTAGTTTTAAAAATTTTTATATTAAATGTCAGTGTTTTATAGAAAGCGGAGAAAAACATTTGCTATCGTCTTTTACATTTGCTATTAGGTTGATACAAAAGTGACCAATTTCTTCAATGTTGATATTTGCTGTGCTATAGTGGAATATGTCCTCAAATAATGCCATATACTTTTCATTTTCTTTCCTTACTTGAAGTTTTATTCTAATGACGTATCCTTGCTACCTGTTTTTTACATTCAGAAAGTGATATTAAAAACAAAGTAAATCCATGTTATCTTTTATGAGTTTAAAGTGGGCCATAAACAAGTGCACTCGCATTGTCAACAATGCGCTTGGTTTAAGAACTACTTATAAATGTACAGTACAATGGTGATTTAAAAAGTTCAGTGAAGGAAACGAAGACCTTGAACATGAAAAGCGTAGTGACCGGTCTTCGGAAGTTGCGGACAACCAACTGAGAGCAGTTATCGGAGTTATAACTACACGAGAAGTTGCTGAAAAACTCAATGTCAACCATCCTAGTGTTGGTCATTCGGTGTTTCAAGAAAGCAGGCAATGTGAAAAAGCTCAGTAAGTGAGTTGATCTTCAGTTCGTAAGATCAACCCAATTATTGAGCTTTTTCACCTTGCCCATGCAAACAAACGAACCATTTGTCGACTGAGTATGGTTTGATTATGATCGTCAGTTGATTAATAAAGACAATTTTGATAGTTAATTTTGAGGTTCAAAGGCATAACTACTTTTGTATCAACCTAATATACCCCATCCATTTGCTTTTTTGCCAGCAAATATTTGGATAACAATAAAAACAAGAAAATTTCAACAATGTGTACCTCCTTCATAGCAAGATTAGGTATAAGCTGATCAGCTGTAAGAGGTGCTCGAGTAACTGGATCAAAATGACCAACTCGTTGCAGATGTTCCTTGATATCTGCACGATCATATGTTATACCGCTCGGAGTTATTACAGGGTCGCGTAACATTTCGAAACTGATTTTACCACACAGATAATCGGGAATTTCTCTTTTCCGCCTTTTTTCATCTACCTGAAAATTAAAAAGTTTTACCCAAACTGATTTTTCCGCCAATAACTTCTTTTTTTTCAGTGTTTATCAAACAGAATACAAAAGAGAAAAAAACACCCTCTCTTATATGCATCGCAATTTATACATAGTCAACGTAACTTGACAAAAAAAATCAGCCATATATCTTAAAGAAATATATTATAATTACCCTTTGCGTAAAGCATATTATAAATCAAAAGCGGATGCAATACATTACTTGTGCAAACAAACTGTTCAGTTTATCCTTGGACGATTGCGCCTTCATTTTTAATAACACTTCTTCGCTCTCCAAATCCAACTCTTCAGTTATGTCTTCACTGTTTTCGTTAGTTTCATTTTTTTCCCTCAGCTTTCGCAATTTTCTTGCAAGATCATTATCAATAAGACTATTTAAGTAAGCTTGTAATTCAATTTCTTGTTTTATCCTAAAACTTTATACCAGTTACAAAACATGAAGTGTCCTGGAACTCTTTATTAATTATGAGAATCAGTATCAGTTATGAAGCATAAAATAAAATCCTAGCAAGAATTTTTGAAATCTGGAAATTTATTCATATGAGATTTTCTGAATAATCTAAAAAGCTCTCTAGCCAAAACGGACTTATATTAATATGCTGCTAAAACGATGACATGACAAGTACAAAATCAATGATAATAAAAAGAGTTCAATCTGCAAAGCTGACAAACCGTTTCTCTTCGTCTCTTCTGAATATTTCTTTCTTCGCAACTCGGATTTGTGCTGTTATTTCGTCACCAAAATTCAATTTTTGACTACGCGCCAAGTCATTTGCACGTGTAAGTACTTTCAAAGCTTCGTCGAAATGTCCCAATTGTACACATGTTCGGCCAAGAAAGAAATTTGCCTATAATTCATGAAGTCATGAAAACATTTAACACAGTTTGATAGAGTTTTAAAATTGATGAAGAAGTCACCGAAGGACGAATAACGTTTAGATTTTTTATCCTGCAAGTTTCTTCGTGTGTGCATAGACATATTGCCATATTAATTTTTACATTAACCTTCATGACTTTCATTATTGGTGTCCTTGAGTCATCGACACTGACAAAATTTCATTGTTAAAATTTAATGCGTTCACGACTAGAAAGATAGTAATCTAATTCAACTAGCTCAGAGCCACTGAAAATTAAACAGTCATTTTAGCTACCCTAAGATGACTGAACTTTTGAATGAAAAAAATAATAAGTTACCTTAACATTTTTGCGATCCAAATCCAAAGCTTTTTTGCAGTCGTCTTCAGCTTTTTCCCATTGCATTGTTTGCATGTAACATAAAGCTCGATTGGTAAAATAAGTAGGAATCACCGGATTGTTAATTATAGCTCTAAAATTGACTAATATTTGAGAATCGCTAGAGTAAAAGTACTAAACATCGGACGAAGTAAAAAATCTTTCCCATATGTTCAGAATTTTATTTCTAATCTTCCTAATTGCCACAAAAAAATTGCAGAAAAACGCTGCAACGAACCGAGAAAGTATTTAATTTAAACACGAACGAAATCACTGCTAACAAAATATAGTTATTCTGCTTCAGGCTGTGAAGGATTTAGAAGAAATTTTCTATAAATATTTTGCCAAATAAATTAATGTATCAATCTGTAAATATTGTAGTAAGCAACCAGTACCATCAAAAGATAAAATCGAACCAAAATGACTAACCGACTGTAGGCACTGATAGCGTCTTCATAACGATGCTGCTGATAAAAACAGTTGCCAGTTTCTTTGAGCTCCTCTGCTACATGTGCAGACATTCTGAAATCATCCGATAGATCAGTAGACAAATATCAAATTGCATGCAATAATTCTTGAAAATATTCCTTGTAGTGTAAAGTACACATCATTGAGTTGCATAATGAGTATCAACAGAGCCATTTATTAACTTTCTGATATCGTTTAACATCGCTAATAATAATGATTAATCGTGCCACATTACACATATACGAGAATGTAATCATCTCAATTTTACTTTAATTATTGAAGTATTTGATTATGTAGGAATATCATAAACTTGGATTATTGGTTACATGATATGACATTCAACTAAACTGAATTCATGATCTGGCAATCAAGCTGATAAAGTAGTAGACCTATGCTAAGTGGAATCATTTTCTGAATAATGCAGAGAGAAATCTCAATAGTAGTGAATGAATATAAAACAAAGTACAATTATTAAAGTCGAAAAATTGCAAAATAGCTAAGAATTTAAATGTACGAGCTTACAATTGTCGAGCCGTGAAAGCAATAAGCACTAATCAATATGTATCAGTCACATTTCACAAAATTTACCATGAAACAGTGTGTGTTTCATAGCGGATCACTCTAGGGCTTAATCGTGCGACCGCATTATGTTTGAGCCGGTTGATCTAGGTCAGGGAGAAGCTGGCTGTTTACTTGGCAGTGGCTTTTTTGTTTTACAACGATGGGTAGTCCGTTCGTATTGTTGAAAAGCTTAGTTTGCAGTATTCACATAATAAGCACTATTTCATAGTGAATTAATTATACTACATCATGATTACAATTATTAGAATTCAACAGAATGATTCAAAAATGTGTTATATATTTTAGTAGTAGAGCGTCTAGCTTTTATTCATTTCTTATTACTAGTAGGAAAGTTTAACCTATCCATATATCGAAGACAATATTTGAATGGCCAGGGAATCGATATGCGCTCTTATCTGAAAGACGTAATTGTTGATAGATTCATGTCCTTATATAGTTTTAAAGAAAATGATTAACATGAAGTAGGATGTTGCTGGAGAAGTATACATCCATGATAGATTTTAAGAAAAAAAAATGGAATATATGTTTGGGATCAGTCTTAAACCATGAAATATGGCCTTGAAGCTCTTTTTTTAGCTTCATTGTGAGGATAGTTTTGCTGAGATCAAAGTGCAATTCTCGTATTCTAACAGAGCTGCTAGAAAAGTCAGTCAATCTTCGCTTTAGGGGCAAAATATTATGTTTTCATGTTGTCATGAAGCTATGAATTTTATTTCTTGGGGTTCTTTCTCACCTCCAGCACTTTCAGCTCAGTCACCTCTTAGCTTTGGCACCAGACTAAAACAAAAAGTAAAAAGATGACGGAGTCGCGACAAACCCAATATAAAAATATGGGAAAAGATAGCGAGGCTTTGAGGAAGAGTCGTGTGGAAAATATTATTTCTATTCGAAAAGATAAACGTGAGGAAACATTGTCAAAGCGTCGAAACATACCTGTTGAGTAAGTAAAATTACTTATATTGAAAACTGAAGTGCAAAGCCGGTTGGTTCTAAAGTAGTAATAGCTAAATTTTAAGTGATCTACAAACTCTTTGGCTTACCGACTATTTTTCATAAATAATGAAGTGTAAAAAATTCGAGGCGCTGGAATTTTTTTTCTTCTGCAACTGTTGATGAATGTCTGTTAAAAAGATAAAGCGTGCATTATAGGGGGAAGTTTATGGATCAAATTTTATAGATCGCTTGATTCGGATGATGCTTCGACGAGTGCAGGTGGTGTAGTTGTTAATGGAACATACAGTCGTAATACTCTGGAAGATATTGTCAAGAAAGCGAGCAGTCAAGATCAGGAGGTGCAACTGTCTGCTGTGCAACAAGTAAGGCATTCTAAAAATTTAACATACAGTCATATTACTCTGAACGAGATGACCGTAATATTCTGGAAGACTTTAGGAAAACTAAGAATCAGTTCAGTGCACTGGCAAATTTGTTGCAAACAAAGTATTCTTATTATTTAATTATCGAAACCGATATATTTCAGGCGCGGAAATTGCTTTCATCTGACCGTAATCCGCCAATTGATGATCTGATTGCATCTGGTATTTTGCCGATTTTGGTGCAGTGTTTAAGTTCTGACAAGTAAGTTTTAACATTCATATAAGAATAGCATGAACCCAAAAGATGCTGTTCAAGGATGCTACTTCGTGAAGATTAGTTTTCGGGCTCAGGAAGGTACAAATAATATGGGAGCCTCGAAGTGGTGACATGAATTTTTCAACTGATTGATCGTTGGATTGCGGCCAATTGTCATTTGTTATCATTCCTCAAAAGAAACTGCTTTTATCAAAGATGCCCAATTTCCGAGTTATTTTTCATGATTGCATATGTCTGATTTCCACAGGTGCAACTATTTTGTGCTATTGAGTCATAATTAGTGTGTCACTATGAACTTATTCTAAAATTTAAATGGTGCACTTTTTGCAGCGTAACGCTGCAGTTTGAAGCAGCATGGGCACTGACAAATATTGCATCAGGAACTTCGCAGCAAACGCAGTCTGTTGTTCAGGCTGGTGCTGTACCCTTGTTTCTGGAACTTTTGTCCTCGGGCAATATGAACGTCTGTGAGCAAGCTGTTTGGGCACTTGGGAATATTATTGGTTCGTTTTCGAGTATCAAAGTTTTGAAACTATTCTCCAAAACTCGGCAGAATTGAATAGTTGGAAGAAATATGGAAAAAGAAATCAATATCTTGATTACTTAATTCATAGTGCATTGCTTTTCACTCTTGCAGAAACCAATGAATATAATTCTTTCGTATAATGCCCTGTATTTTATTCCTGCACTACATTCGTCTTTTTGCTAGTAATTGTAATGCGCTAATGTAAGCGTGAAGTGGAATCTAATTATGTAAAAATTGTTCGGTCTTTTTTCTTGATGAAGTTTTTCCTTACTTTCGATCTTCTGTTTGTAATAATTTATTATGACAAGAAAACAGTGAAAATTTCAGGTGATGGACCACATTTCCGCGACTACTGTATTCAGCTTGGAATTGTTGAACCACTGTTGAAATTTATTACACCTGGCATTCCGATTGGATTTCTTCGTAATGTTACTTGGGTCATTGTCAACTTATGTCGTTCCAAGGCTAGTTAATCGATAAAAAATTTCAGTGACAAATGTAATTGTACAGATCATTAGTTCTATTACTTAGGTTATTGCCAACTTATGTTAGCTAAATGGTAAATTTTTCAGGATCCACCACCATCACCAGAAATTGTTCAAACACTTTTACCTGCATTAGCTGCACTGATAAGTCATACGGATCAAAATATATTGGTGGATACTGTCTGGGCGTTGTCTTATCTTACGGATGGTGGAAATGAGCAAATCCAAATGGTCATTAACAGCGGTGTAGGTTCTTTGGTTGTCCAAAGTGAAGTAAGGTTATCTATTATCAAAATAATTTTACATTGTGATATCTTTGGAAATTTGAATTTCAGGTTGTGAGCAATTTGATCCCCCTTCTTTCTCATCCTGAAGTAAAAGTTCAAACTGCAGCACTTCGTGCCGTCGGAAACATTGTTACTGGAACGGATGAGCAGACACAACTTGTGCTGGACTGTGGTGTTTTGCAACAAATGCCTGCATTACTTTCGCATCAGAAAGAGAAAATAAATAAGGTTATATGCTTGTTTATCGACGTATATTGTTTGAATTTTAATCCAAAGATTTTTACCAAAGATAAGGTTTTTTGACTTTCCTTTTGAATTGATTTCGATACTTTTAGGAAGCTGTTTGGTTCTTATCCAATATAACCGCTGGTAATCAAGCACAAGTGCAAGCAGTAATTGATGCTGGCTTAATGCCAATGATTATACATTTGTTGGAAAAGGGAGACTTCCAGACGCAGAAGGTTTTTATTCTGACTGCAGTAATTTTCAATTATATTTGCAATTCGCAAATTTCTGTTAATTATTTGTAACTTAGGAAGCAGCATGGGCAGTTTCGAATGTAACAATCAGTGGACGTGCCGAACAAGTGGAATATATGGTTTCACAAGGTGTTGTACCACCGTTTTGTGCCCTACTCTCTATACGTGATTCACAAATTGTGCAGGTTGTCCTGGATGGCCTCAACAATATTCTCAAAATGGCTGGACCCCGCTCGGAATCAATTTGTACCATGATTGAAGAGTGCGGAGGTAACTGCTCATTTTTATTTCGAGTAATAGAATTAAACAATGAAATCAGTGGTTCTTTGGCGCAAATTACCGATCTTGAATAAAATTTATATCGTGTTCGACAGTCTGACTAAAACAAATCTAAATTTTTGCTTCGAGTGATATTTCTGCTTATGATGCTGATGTCGGCCAAGTAATTCCGGCGTATTTTTTGTGTTTTAAGAAGCTCTAGGAAAACTGTTGTTTGCGTTATCATTTTTTTTAAAAACTATCGTAGAATTTAATTGCATTTTGAAAATAAGCTTGAGTTGAAGAGCATGAAATAGATATTGATATGGGGCAGTATATTGAGAACATCGAAATCATTATATTATTAGTTCTTAAGTTAATTTACATGAGCACATGAGCAATTTCGCTTGTTGAGCAGCAGGAACTTTGATGTAAATTAGAAAGACATTTTTAGCATAAATTATCGGAAAGTTCATGGGAGGCAATTTAAAACCTACATACAGTATTAGTTAAAAGGAATTGAAAAATTTTATGCCGTTTCAGGTTTGGATAAAATTGAACATTTGCAAAATCATGAAAGTGAAGAAATCTATAAACTGGCATATGAAATCATCGATAATTACTTTTCGGAAACCGACGATGATGGAATAGCGACTGGCGACCATTTCTTTGAATCGACTCAACAGAATGTTCCGTCAGAAGGATTCTCGTTCCAGTAATAGGAGTGTCGTCATTTGAAGAGTTTCATTAATATCCTTTAATCCCTTTCGTCTACCCATCTCCACTTGTTATTTTATTTATTGTCCTGAAAAAATGAAGAAAGCAGAAATATAAGATTACCGAACTGTAGACCTTATTCTTCTGCGTTTTTCTGAATTATCCTGATGCCATTTTGACTATAAATGGAGAGACCTTTGTTCAAATATTTTTTGTCTTTTAAGCTGATTGTACTCTTTCCAGTTGCCTGATTTGTTTTTAAAGAATTGCTTAATGATTGTTTGTTCTGTTTGAATTGTTTTTCTATACTTCAACCGAGGAACTGCAGTCTCTATCGAGACAAATCTACTTTTCTATTTCAAATAGTCATTTTTCTTTCGTTAGTATTTTTGTCTCTCACGATGAATATTTTTTGTTTGATTTGTTTTTTGCCTGTTTGTTCAATGATTTTTGTATGTATGTTTTTGCATGTATTTGTGTTATTCTTTTGAAATATTCCATACCCAATCACGCTCGCTTATCATAGTTATCTTTTTTTAGTAAAGCGAAACAAATCTACAAAGGGCAACGATTATTTCCAGAAAATGTCGTGGTAGATTTTGGTGTCATTGTTGTCCTCCGTCATGATTCATGGAGCTCATCTGGCGCAACGTATGTTGCCAAATGCATATCACACTTCAACGTTCATTAATCTTCCAAAAAAAAAAAAAAATCCATTGCTCCAGTCAAACTTTTTATATAAAACATGAACAGACGAAGTTAACGATTGCTAGGATCGCCTACTTTCTTCACTTTTATTCTTCCGTATGTGAAGAGCTGTTCCATTTGCTTGACACACTATCTCTATTTGTATTTTGCTTGAGTAGCTTTGCGCATCAGTTTTTTCAAATCTTGTGCATCGTCTTTTAATCACATTTCGAAATCATCTGATGTAACAAAAGTTTTTATCTGTTTGATGAACTCTGCCCAAAAAAGGAAATCTTTTAGGTTTTAGTTTAAATTAAAATATTTTTTTGATGTAAACGGGTATTTTATTGGCCTTATTTGTCCAATCGAATCCAGCATTTGCTAGTGTAAACTGGAATGACTTATTTTCTTTTACTTCGGTTTTTTATGGTTCTATAACTTTGGTTTTATTACATCAACGATAGTAGTAACCTCACTTCACTAATTGTCTTTTGTCAGACTGCTCAGTTTTCTCCTGTTTCGTCTTAAAATTTGTGGGAATATTTTTAAGCTTATAAATTAATGACACTGCAATTCGTTTTTCTCTCTGGAAAATTTTTTGGAAAGTAGGCTTCTCGTGATGACCCAGATTCTATGTTCAATTGTTAGTATGTTATGAATGTCTGGATTATGTTTGTATGTATACTTTAAGTTTGGAATTTTTATTTATTAATTTCTTCTGATTTTGATTATGTCGCACGCTTTGAGCTAATGTTTTATTCATTTTAAATTGCGAATTTTCAAATCTTTCTCTGGTTGTTTTTCTCATCTTATGCTTTTTATTTTCCGCCTTTTATTCCTTACATTCAGGAAAGGTCTCTCCAGCCCCATACCCGAATCCCGTATGTTTTTTAAGCCTTGATTAACTGCCTCTCGTCTCTCCGCTGCATTCTAATGGCATTAATTTATGCTTAGTTCATCACGATATAGCTTTTTCCGGAAATTAAGTTTGTGAGTTCGCAGAAGTGACATTTTTCCTGATTACGATAAGACAGAAGGATAATTGAGTCACGGATTACCGCGCAGTCCAAGCGATCTTCCTAACAAATCTATACGGCATTTAAGCATAAAATGCACCCATATCTGCTCTTCAAAAATCTGTTTCTTTAGCTCTTGAGGAAAATGGGACGGTAAGTTAGGTTCTCCTCAGGAGCGGCCTTCAAATGTTCTAAAATTTCTTTTACTAACCATAGTATCGCACGGAAATTACATAAATCTTCGATTGTTTATACTTTGTATTTTTATGTTCACATTTTTTGTAATTTTATTCCCATATTAAAGTGGCATACCGTGTTCTATGATAACTAATTGCAAAGAACGAAAGTTCCTCTTATATTTCTATCTTTTAGGTGTGAAAGCACGATAAGCTAAAAAATCACCGGACGGTTTAATATTCGCAGAGTGCATATTCGCGGGGACAAAGTATACTTCACCTCGAGCCATCTTGAATTTTTCAGTATCAGTATGTATATCAGTTGAACCTTTTATGACGATAATAATACTGCTAGCGCCAACATTTCGCAATTCGCTAGCATCACTCTAAAACAAAAAGAAAACGGTTGAGGATGTTCGAATATGGCGAAAAGTTAGTGGGTCGTTTTATGCGTCCTTTGGATAAGCATTGTATCATTGCCGCCTATATAATTATTGCTAAATTTAAGAAATAACTTAATCGAACTCTCAAACGCGGGATGAGATTGATTGAACGCAGTACGATTGCAGTCCAGATTAAAAAACTGGACCAATATCACAGTACTCAAGGCATTTTTGAATAAGAGTCCACAGTAAAGGTATTGAAAATCACCCCTAATTCATGCACAGCAAATTCTTGAACCGGTGGTGCATATTCCCTTATTCCAGGACTAATAATTTTTGGAGAAAAATACGGTGGCTGAATCATTTCGAATGTCAAATCCGAGCAAAGTGTATTCACATCCTTGAATTTTGACGTTAGTCCGGCACGAACGGTATTGTCTGAACAAGCCATGCATTCCACACAATCTGTAAAATTTGAAATCTTTCAATTTTCTTCAAAAATACAACACAAATTTTTCACTCACCTCCCAGAAGATATGCGTGAGGAGAATTTGGTCCCATAAAAACAGCGTCTCCCTTTTTTAGTGTAAAATAATTTATTAAAAGTGGTGCAAAGACACCTACATCACCGGGATACTCGCTATTTAATCGAAGAAGTAACTCTTCGAGATCAGAACGGTCGTTTTCTGCAAAAAGAAGTTAAGCAAATGAATTAAACAATACTTCAAGTGCATTGCATATTTAAATTGAATGGATTCTTTTACCGAGAAATTGCCGTTATAAGGCGTTACAGAAAAAGACAGTCATTTTTTTCCAAATTCCAATTATTCGGAAAAGCGAAAATTCTTCATGTCCAGTGCTTCCGCTTGGACGGACTTTAAAACAAAGATTTCTTTGTAGCGATCAAAAGCCAACTGTTCTTTAGGCGTACTGCCAACTGCTGTACTGCTTTAGATACATTTTCGTCTGATGAACGCATATATTCGGAAAATATCTTCTTCAAGGCTTCGCGCTTTTCAAAATTATTTCCGGTTTTCAAGTTCTCAATAGCATCTTCCGAGATTATTAAGTTCCGTAGTTCAGGAAAAGCTAAAAGTAATTGTATGCAATTATAAACACATCATAGAAAAAATGACAATGAACTCCAAAAAAAGGATCAATTATCATAAAAAATTTTCGGCTAAATCTTGCACATTAAAATAATCCTTCAAGAGCGCACAGAAAGCTTCACGGTGCAAATATCAAACCTTCAATATTGTCACAAATTTCGTAAAAGGGGCGAAAGCCACTCAAAAGTTGAAAATTCGATAAAGCAATCGCCATCTCCGGTTTATGATTGCTATCTGGATAGTGTGCAGGATCAGTGTTGTGTAATATTTTTGCTTTTTCCTATAAACGTATAGAAATAACTTCATTTCATTTGAACGGGAAACAAAATCTATGTTTCACGGAAAAGCACTATTATATGTTACATGCTTCTATTTTTTCAAATAGCTAAATTTTCAAGAATTATCAAAATAAATGAACTAGCCTTATCCGGATGGCTCTGTATTGACAGTGCTTTATTCACTGAAAGTATTTTGAACAAAAATTGCAATGATCCACCTTCATGATTCGCAAGAAAAGATTCCGATTCCGCAATTTTTTCTGACAAAAGCTTTCCGTCTGATACAAGCCTTGATGGCCCATTTGGATGTACACCCATCCATAACTGAAATGAATTTAATGAAATGGCCAGAAAATGAAAAACGCTCAGAGAATTTGCTCATTAAATTTCATACATTTATCTAATTATCCTATCTACCACTAAAATGCATGAACAGGTGAGAATAGTGAAATTAAACTCGAAATTAGCGAGAATGAAAAAACAAGAATGAAAATAATATTTGCCTAAGGATAAGAAATATAGTGAGGAGCGAATTTTATTTGTCATTAACTTAATGATTAATTAATTATATAAAACAAGCAGTTAAGCTGTAAATCAAATGGATAAAACTGAAATAAACCTCAGCGTATGGTTTTGTTTCATCGATAACAAACTGTTTATTTCCTTCATGCATTAAATTAGCCACTTCGCTTTGGCTTCCTTGACGTCCCCAATCATACATCTGCACAGCGCATATTAACTTCTCCATTTAGCGTACCAAAAAAAAAAAAGATTAAAATTGTATTATTTAACTCGAAATAAGTAATACATAAGTAAAAATAATATATTTTTAAAAAAATCATTCTATATTCAGTTCGAAGATAATGCCATAAAAGTTTCAACAGCATTCAATAGATAGGCAAGCAACAATACAAATATGACTAATTTGAATTCTTATTAAATTTAACAGATTTTTTCAATATTCAAAAATTACCACGCTATAATAAAGTGAACTATATGGCATGATCTAAAAATGCTGATAATCAAGTGCTAATTAGTAATGCATAAAACACTATTGATTAACAAACGCATTTGTGATTTTTTTAAATTTGAGAAGAATTTTTTGTTCATTTGCTCATAATGATCTTTCTGTTTGACTACTTGTAAAGATGAAGTAAATAAGTGAAATTACGAGCAAATATGAGAGAACGACAGAGAGAATCGACAAAATCAATGAAAGATGATGGATGAATGTTACACCCTACCACAAATTTCATCCATTGATTTTTCACAAATAACTGAAAGGAAATTTTCTTGATGATTTCAAAAATCATTGAAATGAGGAAATGGAAATTTTTACACGAATAACAAGAATGTTATTATTTGGATGACAATATTTTTAAGGTGATTTTTAATGCTATCATTCTATCACTTATTTGATCAATTTTTCGCAAGTCAAAATGATTTTAGACGATAAATAATGACGAAAGTTTATTGAAGAATGTGCTAAAGTGAGGATAATTTATTCAATTATTTAATTTCCATCTGATTGTAACTGCGATCAGAAGTGATAATGTAATTATTAGAGCGAGTGATATAATGATAATATTTAGAAAGGTAATTAGTTAAACTCGGATGGTGCAGTCATTTTTACAGGATTACCTTTCCACACCGCATACCCGTACTACCTTCAGCGTTACCTACTCCCCTCGTCATAAGCTAAGGTGTGAAGCTGCTAAAAGATAATAAGTCAGGGAATTATGTGAGCGCCATTTCAAAAAAAAAAGGGCCTGTCCAATTGATTGAAATGATGAATGGACGACGACGATCGATCGGCGAAAGGACCAAAGATTATTCATTTGATGATAGTATTCCTCAAACTGATATGATAAGTATACTGTAGAAACATTCAGGATAAGTCAACTCGTTCAAGTTTATCAACGACTCCATTCCGGGTGAAAAATATTTGATTTCAGAATTCCAAGTTAACAGCCATAAACATCTGCAATCTTTAAGAATTTTATGCTTATAACATTTACTTTAATTCGAATATGCTTTAGTGTGAAATATTATTGTGAGAAATTATTAATTCAATAATCCATTTAAAATTAAAAAATTCGATAATCTTTTCATTTTACAGAATTGCAAAATGCTACATTTTCTTTTTTCAACGAAAAAAAATCTTTATTTTTGTTTTTTTTCAGTTTTTTCCTCATTTTATTGGCTTAAATGTATAAGTAATTGGAATTCCCATGCTGAAATTCATTGCATTTTAATTCACTAATTAAATTATAGTAAAAATTCCACATTGTTCATTACTAAAGTTGACCATTATACAACAGAACGCATTGTTCTTATGACCAGACAGCTGCGCTTGAAATTGTTTCAAAAATTTCAATGAGACATTTTCATATATGTTTTTTATCATTAGTTGTCATCATAATTTTAAACAACTGATGAATCATTTGTTGTCAAAATAAATTTTAATGCATTTATCCAAATTCTGAAGCATCCATTTTTTTTCTCTGCTGACAAGCAAATTTGATTAGTTTTATTTTTTTCAGGTGAATATTTCGTATTTTAATCGAAAATTTATGATTTTTAAAACAATATTCAAATATTTGATGTGAAAATTTAGATGATACAGAAAGGAATACTTTATTACTTAAAAATTGTTTAACACATTCTTCTAGTTTTTAAATTTTTTAAAATCTTTAAATCTAGCTGTTGTTAAAGCAACGAAAAAAAGTGATAATGCACCATCGCAAACGATTTTGAACGATTCCCAAAATGAATGCTTACATTTTTAAAGAAAAAAAAAATTAATACTTTCTTGTCATTTTAAATTATAACGCTATTTGTTCTTCTTTTCACATTCTCTCAACTTTCTTCTCATAATTTTTTTTAAAATTTAACCTTTTTATTTATCTCAGTCACTAACCATAATAGATTTTTAATCCATTGTTGATTATCTCTTTTTTTTTTCGGCGATCTATTAAATTGATCTCTCACGATGTCTTTTTGTTTATTTGCAGTAATTTCTATAAAAATTTGCATGAAGCAATCTCGTTAAATGTTTAGTGACAAAAAAAAGATAACTTCTAGCTTTCTTCCTTCTAGGAAATTTGATACATTTGTCGAATTCAAAACGTCTATAATATCAAATTTGAAAAATAGCAGTATTCCAAAATTTTCTTATAATTTATATGCTTTTATAATGTGATTAATATGATCGTTTGCGCTTCTATCGATAAAATGTACGAGTTTATTTATAAAAATAGGATCATTTATATGCTAAGCAAAGATAAATAGTGAAGTTTTGTAGAAAAAAAAAAAAGAAAATTATTTAATTTTTTTCTTTAATACAAACCTTTTTTTTCACATAATGAAGGAATAGCTGGCAAGAAATTTTGGATTAATTGCAAGCATCTAGAAAATCGAGATCTTCAAAATTTTCACTTCAGTAGAAATATTACATAAACCCATGCAGAGATCTTTAGCAATTGTTCGCTAATTTTCCCGTAACTTTTACAATTGGCTCTTTTAAGAGAATGTGTAAAAAATTTTTCAATTCAGATGTTTTACTTTTCACAAATTTGAATGATGTGAATAAATTTTGATCATTCCTGTATTTTAGTATTTGTATTATTTAAATGTTCGTTTCATATTCTACATTTCTTTCAGTGTTAAAGCAAATAGATCAGATCTTAGCTCGAGAACTCTTAGCAATTGTACTATCGGGCCACAGATCAACAACATTCAATCCGTAGAATCTGAAGAAAATGAATTTAAATATTTACAAGATACGATATAGATTGGTTAAAGTCTAGATTTTGAATTTCCAAAAAACTCTTAATGGTTATTGCTACTTCTACAAATCCTAAATCATTTCGAATTTAAAATTTTTCAATTTCTGTAACTGTAATTCGATAATATGCACGCCCAAAGTTAGTATTTTGTACCTGTAAATAATTAATTTTTTTTAATATTGTTGTTTTTGGTTGTGGTCATCTTTCACTTGAAGAAAATTTTAAATTACAAATTTACATTGGGAATATTTTCAGCACTATCACTGTTTGGTAAAATTTTTGTTTTTTTTTTTCACGCACATCGGCTCTTTTAAATGAATTTGAACATTTATTTTATTGTCTGCTATAATCCACTTATAACTATTTCAAGCAAAATCTTTTGATTTATATTTTTTAGGACACAGAAATTTTCATTTAAATAGTTTGTAAATAGAACAATTTAACAAATTTTCGTTTAAATTATGGAACAGAAATTAAAGCACACGATAAAACTAACGATAATTTGCATTTTTCATCTGCTTGCTGTAATCAAATATTTTAGGAATCATCAATATTCGAAATATTTGGTATGCATGGTTTACAGGATTACGAAAAAAAGCAATTTGTCCTGAATTGCAACGGTTCAAACACGAAGGCAATGCTTTTAATTATTAAAGCTATTAGAAGCATTGATCGGCAAATTTTTATAGAATGAAAAGCGAAGAGTTGAATTAGCTAAACCATTTGTATTATATTTAAATCATTAATTGAACACATTTACTTGCTATTTAGCATATTGAATTGTGTAAAAAAAATGACCTGCCAAAAAAAAAAACATCAAATAATTCTCGAGATATGGAGAATGGAATATTTTACAATTTATCGATTTGAATTATTTAAACGTATGCTGATAGTAGAACATATGAAAATTCGGAACAAATGAAAATTGATATTTAGGCATGAAAGAATGGAAATTTCGATTAAATAGGATGAATTGGAACGAGTATAGAAAAATTTCGTTGGCTCAGCATGAGCAATTGAAAAAAGTAATTTCTCTGTAAGCTGAGATAGAGGAAATGATTTTTTTTTTTTTTAAATCAGTTAATCCAAACTCTTTGCTAACTTTAGGATATGCAAGTGAGATGTCATAATTTTTAGTGTCAGAAATGAGAAGGTTAACTGTAAATGAATATGATGCAAACTATAAAAAAGTATTGCTAGGAATGGCTATGCTAATAAAGCTTTTTTTTTAAAGTTGAAATTAAGATGATTACTGTGACATCTGAGAAATTTACTATTAACATTTGTTGACTGATGGATAATATAAATGATTCAATCTTCTTTTGAATTAAAAAATTTACTTCACTTTATTAGTAATTTCAATTCATGTGGAAAAAAAACTTTCATATTTTTATTATTTTTGTTGTTTTTTAGTTTTGATAGATTGTTGATATTTCATATCTTTTTTTAATGAATCCATTATAATTCATGTTTTGTTTATTTGCTTAATTATAGTTATCAGATTGATAAGATAAATACCTGTTTGTTATCCGATTTGTTATGTTCTGTTTTTTTCTTGATATATCGTTATCTATTCTTATATAAATGTGTTTTTTTCTTGTTTTTTGAATTTTTTTTTTTAAAAATATCTTTTATGAGTTTGTGTTATTTGGTTAAAAATTTTCAGTGTAATTTTCAATGTTGCTTAAAGTTTACATTGAAGCCTCAGCACTAAGGTTAGTATAATTTTGGCAAGTATTATGCTATTTATTTAGTAATTTAGTAAACAAAAAAGCTTTAGTAATAGAGTTAAAAGTTATTTCGGTTATTCTGCGTGGAATTTTTTGTGGTCTTCAAAAAAAAAATTTAAACGAGATATATTATCATTTCATTTCATCAATTTCACTAATTTAGCCTAATTATAGAATGAGAAAAGTTAATTAACACTAATCAATCTATGAATTTCCTCTGTTCATCTATTGGATAATGAGCATTTTCAGCGGTATACATTTGCTTATCTGCAAATCGCTAAATTCGAGTATGGCTGGCATTAATAGTGTGTCGATAGAAACTGGTTTACTTCCTCAGGACAGATATGACTCATCATTCCATTTCATTCTTTAATATTTCAGTCAGGACAGGTATGACTCACCATTCCATTTCATTCTTTACTATTTCAGTCAGGACAGGTATGACTCATCAACGGTTGTTTTTTTTTGCATATTTTTCACATTTCTAAATATGCCACCTCAAAATTATATTCATCAGATGGAGAATAAATAACATTGGGGAGAAGGAGTGTATGGTATATTTGTAAAGATGACCATTAAAAATTCATTGGTTTAAACAATTCGTTAATTCATGAAATCTTTGCTATTCATTTTCAAATAATATAATATATTAGGTCATATTATTATTTAATAAAAATTTTGCTAACAAAACATAATTATTTTCAATTCTTAAACTTCAATTTACTTTTTTTTTTCTCTTTATCTTCTCTTATCAGTCAGTGATACAATCTGCTTAATTTTATCGTTCAATTAGTTTATCAATCTATTTTTTCTTCCTATAAACGACATTTCTTCTTTAATTTTTTACTGGTTTTTTTTTTGGATAACTTTAGCTTCAATCTTTTTTCCTTTCTCACTCTTTTCTTCAACAGAAAATCGCTTTTATCAGATTATTCATCCCATTAATTCGCTAATTTCATCATTTCAAAAAAAGGGAATTTTGCAATAATGCAAAATGAAGCACCAATATTGCTACCACGAAAACGACGATCATCATCGAAGAAAATGGCACCTTCTGTGGAATGTTTCCTTATTACAATGCTGTTTGTAATCGCTGTTCAGGTATGTTAATAATCTTTTTTTTTTGCCTTGGAAAAATTAAAGTAATTATTTCATATCAGTAATATGCAGCTATCTTCTAACCTGATTTTATAGCTGAAATATTATTTGTGAAATTATCATTAATGATTTATATCTGAAATTCTACAGGGTACTTATCTTGCATATGTAGTTGGCATATTAACAAATCTGGAACGACGATTTAGCATATCGAGTAAAAAATCCGGTTCTTTATTATCATTTTATGATATTGGTCATACGATTTCTGTGATACTAATTGGCTTTCTGGCTAATGATAAGCATTTGCCCAGAATTACAGCTACAGGTAATAGCATCTCAGGATTTTAATTCTCTATCTGTTCCCATGTAATTTTCTTCATAATGATTGCAAAATTGGTTAAATGATTGAAAGATTGCTGTGGCTTACAGAGCAGTTATTTATAGTCATATTTCAGGTGTGATATTTAGTGCTATCTCGATGTTTATATTAGCCCTACCAATGGTATTATTTGGAGCGGAATCATTCGATGAGTCATCGATGTCACAACATGAAGTCAATTTTTTTAAGTTCATTTTTTTCCTTAAAATTTATATTTTGAAAATTTTCATGAAAGTAATAATAACCATTTATATAGTTGATTTTTTCACTCCTATACATTTTGTCAGTATTTATCGCTCCAAAAAAATGGTTAGAATTGTAAAATTCTGATAACACAATAACAAACAGGCTAAGCTTTAGCTTCTGCTATCGCACTCTGTTTATTTCTCATTTTTTTAAAAAACAAAAAATTACATTAATTTTTGCAGCACGAATACATTCTTAGAAATATTTGTGATCCATCACGAATTCCTAATGATTCCGAGCAAAATTGTAAACTTCAAGAGGATGAACATTTTTTGGCATTTTGCATTCTGGTCATTGGTCAAATCCTAGCTGGTATTGCTGCTGCACCATTCAATACAGTGGCTTATGTTTATGTGGACAATAATTTGGCAGATAAAACAAAATCACCATTTTACTTGAGTATTTTTTTTTTCAATAGTTTTTTATCTGGTAGAAAGATAGTGCTCTTCGTTAAGAATAATACAACATAAGATTTTGAAATTTATTTTAAATTTCAATTCGCTTCATTCAAGAATTCCAAAAAAAAACAATTTAAGATTGAATTTTGAATTTTTTTTTTAAAGAGAAGATTAAGCTATTTTGCAAGGATTAGATACATTTAGTGCATTATTGTTGTAGGTTTGCTATCCAGTATGTATGCATTTGCGCCAGCTTTTGGATTTGCATTAAGTGCAGGTGTCACACAATTGTATACGACAATTGTTAATGGTATTGCTTTTGAAGATATTTTAGAAATGAACATTTAATTTATTAAAAGAATGAAAATTTATGCATTCCAGAAAGTAGCTTCTTTAATAATGATCGAATTTTGGCCTTCTTTATCAGATGTTTACAAAAAGAGCCAAGAAAGGTATTGTTTGTTTCTTTAAGAAAACAATCAGTGAAATGATTTGAAATGATTTTAATTTAAATCAAGTTTTTTTTATAGTACCTTCAAATGTGGCAATTAATAGTGATGAATGGATTGGAGCCTGGTGGCTTGGTTTCATCATCTTTGGCTTACTTTACTTAGTCAGTGCTATTCCACTACTTTTCTTCCCCAAACAACTGCTGCAGAATGATTCAAATTCGTTTGAAATGCAACAATTAAGGTTGAATTACTTTTATTACTTTGTAAATATTTCGTGAAATAAATTTTATAAGATTATTTGATCGCAACATGACTTTAAAAGCTACCAAAGCAATTATTGCAACTATTACTTAAGTTAAAATAAAGTGCTAGTCAATTTTGCAAAAAATTTAAAAGATGGAAAATTTTCTATTTGTTATATTTGACATTGCTTCACTTACCTTGTCGGCATAAATTCATCTATCTAACTCATTTTTATTTTAGATGCAGAAATGAATGTTCACATGATCATGATGATCATCAAATTGCTATTCCTGAAAATGACGAACAACGGCAATGGACATCCTGCGAACAGCTAAAAGCGGCTTTTGCAGGTAATTGCTGACTTTTTTCACCTATTATTTTAATCCCGAAATATTTTTAGAGCGCATTTCAAGACTACTCGAATAGAAAATCTTCTATTTTTTTTAAAATTTTCGCAGAATTAACTATCTTTTTAACAAATTTTTTGTAAACGCAAGAAAAAATGTTGAATAACAGAAATCCAGTCGAAAAAAAAAATTTCCAGAATTTCCGGGATTAATAAAGAATCCGGTATTCACTTCAATGATAATTGGATGGATGTTTGGCTCATATCTTACCAGTGGTTATAGCACTTATCTACCAAAATATATTGAAACACAATTTGGTCGTAGCGCATCAGTTGCTGATACATATGCTGGTAAATTTAATTATTAGTAGGAAATAAAAAAATTTATATTTGTTTAAATTTTTAAAATCGTAACTTTTATAGGCATAGTATCAATTGGTAGTATAGCAGTTAGCACAGCGCTCGGTGGTTATTTGCTAACAAAATTTAATCCATCACCTCGAAAAGCGTTACTTTTCCTGATTGCTACTTGGTCGATTATTGTAATTGCATATTTGATCGGTGCTATTGTTGGTTGTGATGAGCCAGAAATCAAACAACTTCTTAGTGAAATCATCGATATTAATCAGTTAGGAATATTTCATCGTAATTTTTTTTCTTTTTGAACCCAAATTAATGATACATTATAGTTTTTAGAGCAGTTAATATTTCATTACATTTTAAAATAACCATTTTTAAATTTATTTTCAGAGAAAAATTCACTGATAATTTAGAATGTAATCTTGATTGTCAATGCAATCAAGTTAATCTCTTTAATCCAGTAAATTATCACACAATGAATTATTTCTCACCATGTCATGCTGGTTGTCGTAAATATAATTTTCACTTGCAAAAAGTATGTTTCAATTTTTTTAAAAAATATTTTATACAAATTTATACATTCTTACTTGCAAATTTACAATTTGAATTCAGCAATTTTTAACTGTCATATTAAAATTCTCTCTCATCAATTGAATTTGAAATCATGTATTAAATTTTTTAACTAAACTTTTGGAGCTATGTTCATCTCATGCGATAATTAAAGAAGAATGATAGCTAAAAGGATATAATTTTTGAGCTTAATTATTTGCCCTATCGAAATAATTTAAAAAAAAAGTCTTCAAAGAGCAAACATTTTCACTTTCGATATATTTATCCATCAATATATTCCACTTCATTTTACTATATTCCACTTCGTTTTACAATTACTCTCTTCTTTTGATGCTACAATGATAAATATTTATTTCAAACAGTTTCCGCTTATTTTCCAATCTCATTCTGAAGCAGTTCATTAAATAAAAAATGTAACTTTGTTTCAGTGGGATTCGTGCTTATGTGCTGATAATGGCGCTGTTGAAAATGGCTTATATGCAAATGAGTGTAATGCAATATTCATTTATGTTGCAGTAATGTTTACAGGCCTATTTTTTGGCAATTTATTTTTTATGACAACAATGATGGTTGTGCTGAGGTTTACTTTTCTTTTTTTGTTTTTTCAGAATAATAATAATACTCAATTTAGTACATTTTTTACTTTTTTATTCTAAATTTTTTTTTCAGAATAATAATAATTATTTCAGAATAATAATAATAGGCTTTTTTTTTGCTCCAAAAAAATTTAGGTTTTACTCTAAATAAAACGATTTAAATTTTTGGCATTATGGCTTACTAATTTTTACAATGCGAAATTTTGCTTTATTTCTAGCATACGATTAAAGTATGCAGTAAAACGTTTCTTGCTATTTTTACAGTAAAAGATTGAAATTGACAACAAATTGCAGTAATTTGTTTTTTTTTTGACAACAAATTGCAGTTTAAGATGATTTTTTAGAATTTATTGCAAAATTTCCATCAAATTTTGAATTTTATTACAATAAATGATAATACATTGAATGAGTTGTTAAATTTCAATGCTCACTTTTATAAAAAGACAAATTTTAAATTCATTATTTGTTTGACGAGTGTTTTACAGATCTGTATATGATGATGAAAAAGTTCTAGCACTTAGCTTTGCATCCTGCATCACAAACATTATGGGTAATTTGCGCACTTTTCTTTTTGTTCTTTAAACGATTCTAACAAATTTGAACTTTTCATTTATATTTAATATTTAATGTATTTTATTCGTCTACTTTTAAACTTTTATCAATTTAAGAATTAAAAACAGAAACATTTTGAAAATGATATGAAATGTTTTTTAAAATGCATATTTGAATATTATAGGAAAAAGACATAACGAATGTATGCGATAACAAACAAATATTAAATTTTATAAGAATATTATTTTTGTAGGCTTTATTCCGGCACCAATAATTTTTGGTTGGATTATTGATGAAGATTGTATGTTATGGCATAGCAGATGTCCTCATGATCGTGGTAATTGTGTCATCTATGATAATAAAGCATTTCGACAAACATTTCATTTTACAAGTGCTGGCTTTCAAACTTTTGCTGTAATTTCAGTTATAATTTGCTATTTGTTTAGTTGTAAATTTACATTTCCGGAAGAGAAAAAAGAAGAAGAGATATATGATAATTAATATGATGAAAAGAAATTTGATCGTTCTACCTTACGATCACATGTTGTACATACTGTTTTATAAGTATTTGAAATATATTTTAAAAATTTTTGCAAAATGTTATTGAGAAATGCATAAAATATAGAATAAATTATGAACAAACTTGTTGTATCATTAATTGTAATTAAAATGAGTTGAAATTTGTTTGTTCAGAAAATGGTGATCTCATATTCTGTTTTTAATGTGCATTTTCTTATATGTTTTTTTGTATATTTTGAATTTCTTCTAATAACAATGTATTACAAATTTAACAATTTTGAATTCTTTCTAAATGCATTCACAGGAAATTTAAAAAAAAATGAAGAAACTTGCTATATAATGCAAGTTTAAATTAATTAATCAATTTGAATTTATCAAGAAGAAATATTGCGATAGCAGCAATTTAACTTGTAATATTTCGAAAATATTTTTAGAAAAAAAATGTATGAATGAATAAATGGTCCGAAGCAAGTGACCAAATAATTTAACTAAAGTAATAAGTTAGAGACAGCATTGAGGACAACAAGAGCATTCAAGAAATCATAACCGGAATGATCGAATTCCATAATGGTACTCAAAATACCCATAACGCAGTACGGCGTCCAGAATATCATATTTAGTGTAAGCATCAGGAAAGCCTGAAATAAGAATTCCGAAATGTTACGATTGAATGGTTTTGAATTGATAAAAGATTTAAGAAATGGCATAAAAAAAATATGGTTGCATTATTATGAATAAGAAGAATTTTAAATTCCAAACAGATTTGAAATTCATAAGCCAAATTAGAATTCCTTATAAGTTCAACTAAAAAGCAAAAGATCAGACTTAATTTTCTGATTCGGAGTTTTGAATTGCAAAATAGATTATTGAAAATTAGAGGAAAAATTTTGCTGATAGAGAGGAGGAATGAAAAGATCTATTCCAATATGTCAGAAAAATTTTATTTAAAGAATTATAGACTTTGAAATCAAACTTTTCGTCGAGTTTTTCGCCGTGCTAAAGCAACCGTATTTTTCCATGCAACGGAAGATCGTCGATGTTTTGTTTGTTCTATTGCGAGAGTTTCGTTACATCGTCGATTTAAAAAATTTAACGTTAGCATTGACATATGATAAATTCGTTTTCGATTTATTTTATCACTTCTATCAGAAGAATTAGTACCAGTTGTTTCAGCATTTCTATTCCAATGATGTAATAAATCTAAAATTTGAGCTATTGATGAAAAAAATAAGCTTGTTATAGAAATAATCATTATCATATTCATTCATAACGTTAAAGTTTATCACTAAAGTTAAGTTTATAACAGTTATCATTTTTTACTCACAACATTCAAGTTTATCATCATCATTAAAGATTAATAAAGAAAATGGATGAAGGGGAATCTAAATTTTTATTTAGTATGAAATTCTAAACAATTTACTGCAAAAAATATCAAATTGAAACACTTGTTAAGATGTGTTACCATTTGTTATTTCCATGATAAATCACCGAAAATATAACAAGAAATTAAATACTCTTTCAAAAAGAAATTGAAATGCGCAAATTTCAGGTAATCTTACCTTTTGTACGAGAATTACTATTCGTGGAGAATTTATGAATAGGATTGCTTGAAATACTTTTCGTTTGCTCACGCAAAGAACGTCTAAAAATTTGGTAATATTAATTACTTCTCATTTACTTAGACAAGAAAACTTTTTATCTACAAATACTCCATTCTTCTGACCTATCACCTTTGATATGATTAAACTTCATCAGGGTGGAATATTCTCCATTAATTTAAATCCCTCATATGATAAATAGCTTCATTGAATTTGTTAGCTATGATCTTTTTTATTTGGCATAATTAAAAATGAAATTTAACTTATTTATTTATTTATTTTTTTTAGTACTTTAGCTAAATTCTGTTTACTATCGATATCGATATATTTACTAATAAATAAATTGTACATTATTAGTGTTATTCAATAATTTCGTTTTCGTTTCATCAAAACAAAAAAACAATAATTTGTACAATTAAATTTTTTCGCAACTAACTTTTTATAAGTTTTACCTGATATTTCTGCACACTCTGAGATATCTCACTTAAAATATTTAAGATATTTCATTCTACAGTATTTATAAGAGTAAAGAAAAAGATATTTAATAAAGAAATACAGTTAGAAAGGTACCGGTTTTGTCGAGTTTTTTTATCATTATCATCGCTGTGGAATTGTTTCATCAAAATTAGCATTAAAGCGTAGCATAATAATTCAATTGAATATGGTAATATATAAATGGAAAATAAATGGAGCACATTGTAGGCTGAAAAATTGTAAAAAATATCAAA